CCTTTCTGCATAACGCTCTATTTTATCGCCATGCGCCTGCCATACCGCCTCGCTAGTGCTCGCGATCACTTCCTTAGCCTGCACCCGGCTGACCTCATTCTCACTGCCTTTGTCGACACCCTCACCGAGATTGAGACTCGCCAGCGCACTATCGCTCAGTCGAGCGGTGCGCCAGCAGTCTCAATCTTTCACGGCTGTGCCCCCTCCCAGTGCACGTTCACTGACGTTTCGGCTGCGGTCGCCACGGCGACCCCTCTCACTGAGACAGCTGCTGCGGTCCACCCGCAGCAGCGCTCGCGCCGCGGTGGCCGTGGTCGCCAGGGTGGTAGGGGTGGTGGTGCAGGTAGTGGTGCTGGTGTTCGTGAGAGTAGTCCGTCTGGGGGGACTAGCATTGGGGGTCAGGAGCAGCAGCCCTAGCCGCAGCCGGAGCAGCCCGCGCCGCAGCCGCCGTCCCAGCATCAGCCGCCGTCCCAGCCGCAGCCCCCGCAGCAGTGGGCTCGCCTCCCGCCTGGTTGGCCCGGCACCTCAGGGGGTGGTGGCAGTGGTGGCGGCCCGCGCAGCTTTGCGTCTACTAGCGGCTCCGGTGCTGTCACCTATCAGTACCAGCTTCAGACCGGGCCCCTTCGCGGCACTCTGTGCCGCCGCCCGCACCCGACTGCCCGCTGTTTCCGCCGCCTCGACGATCTGTTTCGTCGTCGCTTTGGCCCGGCCCCGGACCTCCCCGACTGGCACAGCCTGCTCCGCCAGGGCGTGCCGATCTTTGAGTTAGACATGGATCAGATAGGTGCTGCTTTGCATGCCATGTATTCTGACGCTACTAGTGTTGCTGGATCTTATTATCCTGTGTTCTCTAGTTTAGGTGTTGCACCGTTGTGTAGCCTAGCCTCCCCTGCTGCGTCAGGCGTAGGACTGACTAGTTTGTCTAGCCTCGTCTCTGCACCGGCTCCGTTCCCCGCCCTTGCCACTGCTGCGCTGTCCTTCACTCTCGACTCCAGTGCTTCTGCCTGCTTCTTCCGCGACCGTTCCGCACTTACGCCGCTTGCTATGCCAGCTGTCGTCTCTCTCGCTGACCCCTCTGCGGGTCCTGTCGTCGCTCGCAGTTCTACGTCCCTTCCCTATCCAGCAGTTCCCTCGGGCTCCCTTACAGGCCTCCACGTTTCCTCATTCTCGAGGAACCTGGTTGGTGTCGGCTGTCTCCAGGACCTCGGCGTCACCACCACGTTCCCCGGGCACGAGCGGTTCGCTGTCTGTTCTGAGGCTGTCTCAGGTTCCCCCCTTGCGACGTTCCCCAGGGACCCGGTGTCTGGTCTGTTTACCCTAGACACCGCTTCCCCTCCGGTTGGTGCGTCCTCCCAGGTTGCTGCAGCTTGCTCGTGTCGTTCCCTCACTCACCCGTCCCTTCTCTGGCACCACCGCTTAGGTCACCCTGCTCTCCCTCGTCTGCGCCACATGTCCCAGCACGGCCTTGTCTTAGGTCTCCTTGTGTCGCTCCCCGCCCTTCCTCCCTCGACTGCGCCACCGTGCACGCCTTGCATCGAGGGCCGGCTCCGCCGTGCCCCTCACTCCTCCTCGCTGCGCCCGGCTACTGCCCCCCTTCAGACCCTGCACCAGGACATTTGGGGCCCTGCCCCCGTCCCCGGACCGCGCGGTGAGCGCTACTTCCTTGTGCTCGTCGACGACTACACGCGCTACACCACGGTGTTTCCCCTGGAGCGGAAGGCCGACGTGCCCGACGTTCTTCTCCCGTGGGTTGTGGCTGCGCGTCTCCACCGCGGTCTCCCCGTGTTGTGTCTCCACTCCGACCGTGGCGGCGAGTTCGCCTCTGGCCGGCTTGGACAGTTCTGTCGTGCAGAGGGCATCACCCAGTCGTACACCTTGCCGGCCTCGCCACAGCAGAATGGGGTTGCTGAGCGCCGCATCGGCTTGGTCATGGAGGTTGCCCGCACCTCCATGATCCATGCCGATGCCCCCCATTTTCTGTGGCCGTTCGCTGTTCGCTACGCTGCTCACCAGCTTAACTTGTGGCCACGCTCCCAGCGGCCGCAGGTTTCGCCGACCCTCCTTTGGACCGGGTCCCCCGGTGACGCGTCTGCGTTCCACGTCTGGGGCTGCCTTGCTCACGTTCGTGCCTCTGGCACGGACAGGCTCACTGCCCGCACTGTCCCCTGTGTCTTCCTCGGTTTCCCCCTGGACTCGTCTGACTGGCTTTTCTATCACCCGCCGTCTCACCGCTTCCTCCACTCTCGTGACGTTACCTTTGACGAGTCCGTCTCCTTTTACCGCCACTTCCCTCACCGAGGTCTCCCAGTTGCCCCCCCCTGTTCCTTGCTCCCTCTCCCCCGGTAGCCCTTGCCCCTCTCCCGCCTCGTCCTGCCCCGCCTGGTGTCTCTCACGTCACTCCCCTCCCGTCGGTTGTCCCCGTTGAGGAATCTGCTGACTCTGGTGGTACCCCCGGTCTGTCCTTGCCGCATCCCCCTTCCCCGATGCCTCCGCCCCTACTGTCGCAGTCGCCGACCCCGCTGCAGCCGCCGTCGCCGTCGCCGTCGCCGCCGCAGCCGTCGCCGCTGTCGCCGTCGCCGCAGCCGTCGCCGCCACTGCCGCCGCCGCTCTTGGCCCCTGGGGGTGCTGGTGTGGAGGAGGGTGTTCGTCCTGCGGCTTCTGGGGGTGCCGCTGGTGTTGGAGGGGGTTCTCGCTCTAGGGGTTTTGGTTCTGGGGGTGCTGCTGTTGAGTGTTCTGCCGACGCTCGTTCTGCCTCTGCTGGTCCGAGAGTTCCGGCCCAGCCGTCGTCGCCGCCGGTCTCCGCTCTCCGCCTACTCGGCCTTCCCTCCCCGGACCGCGCGACGGTGTCTCCCCCACCGCCCGCTGACCTTCCTGTCTACGGTCCTGTGTTCCCGCCGCCGGACTCGTCTCCGGCCCGTCTTCCTCCTCGTTCCCCTCCTGTGTCTCCTCCGCTGTCCCCTGACCCTACCCCTCCGTCTCACGTTTGGGCTCGTCGTCCCTCCCGTGCTCGTCCCGTCTCTCCTGTCCTGCCCACCCACCCTATGTTGCTCCGTTCCCGCTCGTCTCATCCTCCTCTCCTCCCGTCCCCTCCTCCCTCGTCCCTTGCTGTTGCACCTCCTCCGTTCTCTGACTACCTCCGTGCTGCTCGTCCCCTTGTCCCTCGGGTCCTAGCCTCTCTTGTTACCGACCCTGCTGTTCCTGTCTCGCGCCTTGACGCGCTTGTCGCGACTAACGCTGACTTCGCCTCTACCCGCCGCCTTGACTACGCTACCGCTCTGGTCTCTGACCCTGCCCGTCCTCCGTCCGTCGGGGGTGCTCCTGCCCTTGGCAGTGACGTCCTAGAGGACAGACAGTACGAGCTAGCTTTCCTGTCCGAGGCTGCTCCCCATCTCTGCTCCATGCTTTTAGTCCCTGAGGGTGACCCAGACGCCTTCGACATCCCGACCCCTCGCACCTACGCTGAGGCCACCTCGGGACCCTGGGCCTCTCAGTGGATAGCTGCCATGGAGCAGGAGATGGCATCTTGGAGGTCTACCGGCACTTACGTCGACGCAGTTCCCCCCCTTGGGGTGAACGTAGTCGATGGTCGGTGGCTCTTCAAGGTGAAGCGCCCCCCTGGAGAGCCGCCTGTCTTCAAGGCGCGCTACGTGGCCAGAGGTTTCAGTCAGCGCAAGGGGGTTGACTTCTTCCAGACCTTCGCCCCGACCCCGAAGATGACCACTCTTCGGGCGCTGCTACACGTAGCAGCACAGCGTGACTACGAGCTTCACTCCCTCGACTTCTCTACTGCCTTTCTTCAGGGCAGCCTACACGAGCAGGTCTACCTGCGCCGACCAAAGGGCTTCACTGGTACCTTCCCTCCTGGGACCCAGTGGCTTCTCAGGCGCCCGGTCTACGGCATGCGTCAGGCTCCCCGCGAGTGGCACGACACGCTACGTGCCACGCTAGCAGACCTGCAGTTCTTTCCGTCCTCTGCTGACCCTTCACTGTTTGTGCGTTCCGGCCAGACTCCGTTCTACATCCTTGTCTACGTAGACGATCTGGTATTCGCTACTCCTGACAGGGATGCACTGGCCTCTGTGAAGACTGAGCTGCTGAAGAGACACACCTGCACTGATCTTGGAGAGCTGCGTCGCTATCTTGGCCTGCAGATCTCTAGGGACAGAGCAGCACGCACCATCACTCTGACACAGTCACACTTGGTGCGTCAGGTCCTTCAGAGGTTCGGTCTTCAGTTCTCCTCTGCACAGCCCACACCTCTACTTGTAGACCACAGGCTTTCCGCTCCTGTTCCTGAGGAGCCAGTAGAGCCCAGCGGCCCCTACGCAGAGCTAGTGGGTTGCCTCATGTACCTGATGACCTGCACTCGCCCAGATCTCGCATTCAACAATCATTCTGTTTTTCTTCTCGACAATTCTGTCCTCGTCTGCTGCGTGCTGAGTCACGAATGCCAGGCTGGGGCAAGACGGAGTGCACCATCCCACATTTAACGGTTGGAAATGTTGCTGCGATGGCAACATACAGCGTGTACACGGCGGGAATGTTGCCAAGTGCAGATTCTCCACGTGACGCAACCTGGGCGTATTCAATGGACTAGGACCCGTCACGCGTAAGGGGGCCATTTCGGCGAAACTCAGGGTCTGCATGGATGTCGCATTCAAGGTTCGTACGCGTTACTCCCTGAAAACTCAGTTTTGGGATAATGCAAACCCTGAAATTCACAGACATACAACCCTGAAGAGGTTGAGTTTAAAAAAGCCCAATCCTGAAAAATAAGGGTTGGCTTACAAAATATCCTGTGAAATCAGGGAATCAGGGTAAAAATACCCTGATAACAACAGGTCTGGCGGGTGGGTGGGTTAAGATTACGAAGTTAACTCAAACAAGGATGCAAGTGAGCTAGATGGTTGGCAGTTGTACTCTAAAAGACGTATGTACCCGTCTAGCCTATAACTGCTACATCTAGGTACAACTTTCTAGTTTTAGTTTGCTCTGGTGGATACAATACTGTTTATTAATTCCAGGCAGAAAACACGACCCTGGATTGAACGCAAATTAGTGAAAAGGCAGGCAGGTACGCTGTAGACGATTGTTCCAGCTTAGGGGCCACATCGACAAAAAAAATAACGCTTACACTATCTCCCCTTCGAGGAGGTGCTGACATTGTCCTTTCTCAAGTAGCTTGGAGCTATTCGCCCCGTCCTATTAGGATGCTGATAATACTGCTCCTCCGGCATATCTACGATTCTCAATCAACTGGAGGCATCCGCAGCAGCAACTGCCAGAGGCTTGAGCGCTTTCCTGGGGGTGGTAGCAGAAATGCCTCCACCAGACACGCCTCCCATCATCGCCAGAGCCATTGTGGTTTCCTTGTCTACAGTCTCAGCTCGAGTGAACGTGCAGAGCTTGCAGTCCGACTTGAGCAGGGACGACACCTGGTAGTCGTCAACCCCTCCGTACAAGAACCCCTCGGCATTGTCACCCGGAACCACCATCACCTGGAGGAGGTCGCTCCACTCGAGTTTCTGCTGAGCACTGCACGGCCAAAGAACGAGAGGAAGATGCGTCAGTAATATGCAAATACCGATACATGCGAGGTGCGGATAGATAAACGGAACCACGAGGCCCGCGAAAACTCGGAAACGCCCATAGCTCGAGGGAGCAGCTGGGGCAAGGAGAGCACAGCACGATTGCATTAGGATTGTCCAAGCAACTTACATTCTTCCCTCGAAGTCGTTGCGGTAAGTTTGTCCCAGCACGCCGTGCACGCCGGGGGAGAAGTGCGCATCCAGCACCTCCAAACCGAAGTGAACCGTGCCGTCTCTCGGCGTTCTCCACGTCTCAACCTCTGGCCTCATCGTCAGCCGAATCGTCGCCACGCCGTCGACCGCCAGATCGAAAACATCGATATAGTCGTCTCCGTTTTGCTGCCGCGCATACACCCACGTGAGTGTAGCTCCCTCCCATAGAGTCAGCGACGTTCCGGGCGCCTTCACTTGAACCGGCTTTCCATCCACCAACACCCGCGCCAGATACCCGTTCTTATAATCCGCGTCGGGCCCCTTACGCGCTTCGAGAACAGCCGTGTGATGCCCGTGCATCACGCTGACGTCACGGATCCACGTCAGCGCCTTAAGCCGCGAACCCCACGCCGTGTACCGCCCTCCGAAATACCCGTTCACCTGAAAGTGCAGATCCGAAATAATTGCGTAGTTGCGATTCGGCTTGCCGCTGAAGTCGAAGTGCGAGCCGTCCGCGCCGCTGAAATGCGGGTCGCCCTTGTGCCCCGGCTCGCACAGCTCGCCCGCCGTGAAATTCGCCGGCACCTCGTAATCATCCGCGGTTGTTCGGCCCGCCTCCATCCAATTGCTGCTGTACGCGTTAGCGCCTTCGCACTGCTTCGCCGCATAGCACGTGCAGATACCGCCCGTCGCGTCGAGGCACGTCTCCTCGAACATCCAGTATTTGGCTTTAACCTGCCCCGGCTGCCTGTTCGCGTTCCATCCCGAACAGAACCGGTAGCAGTCGGCATTGGGGTTGCTGATCAGCTCGTCCGTGATGTTGTACGACGCGTAGTAGTTCATTTGCCCCCCGGTGAAATAGGCCTCGACCAGCGGCTCGGGCGGCTCTTTAATCGGGTCGACGGGGTCGGTGAATTTGCCGTAGACGAACTGCCCCTCGCCGCATGTGAATTTTGGGCAGACATCAGCTGAGACGGTGTAGTGGGAGAGGAGAGATAGGAGGGATGCGAGGACGAGGAGGGAGGCTTCTGTTGCGCGCTTTAGCCGGATGTGACTCATCATTGTGACGAGCTAAGTTGTGGCTGTGGAAGCTGGTTGGGAGTGGTGTGATATCACGCGTGCGAGTGAGTGATGACAGCGCAAGGGAGAACCTCGAATACAACACTTGGCGGAAGGGATCAAGGGTAGGAGATTTGGGTTGGGAGTCTTCGTTTCTGATGAAGGGCTGTCAAGTCACGTCTTAGGACCTGGCAGTCCCGTGAAGCGGACTGACAGGGTTGACACAAGACTACAGTGCAGGCTGAGATCTACTTCCGCAGGGTGAAGGGAGTTGCAAACGGGGGTCTGACGAAACTATTGAAAGGCTGCTCAGGCAGATGTGTTGTGAAGCGGGAAGTGCAGAAGAACGCGCTGAGGGGAGAAACTGTGGGGGCAAAACGCGCACCACTGCTCAGGCCTCCAAAATCCAGGCCAGGACTGACCAAAACGAGAACGACGCTGGGGCCAAGAGATAAGGACGAAATGTAGCAACAGTTGCAAACGGACAAACAAACAGCTAATTGCCAAATGAGCAAGCTTATCCTTAGCTGCACTTGCGCCACTGCTGCAAGTGAGTAGTGGACGGCAAATTTTGACCTGTATCAGAAGGGGTAGCTGAGACACACGGAATTACTGTAGCTTTTGTCGTTTACGGGGAACGTAAAGGCAGGCGCAACACCCTGGCTGTGTCGTTTTAGAATTCAAGTCTGTCGTCTCGCGACAGTAAGGGCCTAAACCTCGTCCTTTTGCCTACGAACGCTTGTTCATCTGCGCTGCGGAAAGCTTGAGGTCCCGTATTCGCACCTAGAAATCCGCCGATTCACCTGCCTAGCCCGCACCTGTCCAAGAATGTCCAGCTGGAAAATCACATCTGGTCGAGGTGGGCTGTGGGATGCCTCACATCACTTGGCTTGAATCCTCGATGCCAGCCGCCACCAGCAACTGTTACATCAAGACCTGTTCGCATGTCATGCACATGTACGGAACCACGATTAGGTCTCGGTACCGCAAGCAAACTCAGAGGCGTAGATTGATTCGCGATATCGATTCCCGACTCGATTTTGCATAGCGACGGAACACCTCCCAAGCCACGCACGCAGCTCCCCTCGGTGCACGCTATCTCCCAGCGTCGACAGCGAGAGTCGCAAAACACCGGGCAACCTTAGAACCTATTCGCAAAATGTCAAATCGTCGTGTCTGCGACTTTCTTGAGAATGAGAGCGACTCCCGCGAACTCCTGGTCTCGGCTTTGTTTGCGCGCACGTGCTGGTCAATCAGATTTCCTTTGCTCTACTCCTGATTAGTTATTGGCGGGTAACTAAGTTATCCAGATTGAATCGAAATTTTGGAGGATAGGTTTCATTATGATAACGCGTCTTCGGTTGGGGCAACACCATCTACTCAGGGACCACAGGAACCTGAAGACGCGGTACACGCCAAGGAGGATCCATGTCGATCGCCCTCAGGTTCGCTGTCGCAACAAAATTGGACGCGGTTTTGTAGGACATAGAGAAAACAAGCATAAATTCAGTGCGGTGGCGGATCAATCCTGGGCCGTTTTCAGCACCCAGCATTTGAAACTCAAGCCCACTTCAAGGAGGGTACCTAAGCTGAGGCTCTGCGAACACGCCCTGATCAAGATTCTCATTGAGCAAGGCAATGATGGTAATGATTCTTACACGGCGTAAGGAATTAGGAATTCCTTACTTATGCTTGCTACACGGTGTACGACTCAGGCAGTCCAGAACCAAAGATAGGGTTCCAAACCTTTCTGTTCGAGCCTCCTCGGCCTTTCCGTACCTCACTTCGACATATCGAGGCCCTTCTACACTTTTCCCGAACATTCCGATCCTACATCCACGATTTCCTAGGTTTCCTATACATTGTATTGTCTTTAAATTTATTGTCATTCACAGTTTCGCCATTGCGCTCCGCGCTACTCGGCAGTTCCATTCATAACACACGGGCAAGTATTGTAAGCAAAGAGTAACAATGAACTTCTGAACATTCTTGGACGCATAAGTTATAAAGTTATCGGCAGTCCCTTTATGTACTACCCTTGACTCATTATACGCTACCAGTGGCCCAAAACGTGCAAGATTAATAAACATGATAGGGGGAAAAAAAATGGCATGGAAGCGAGCAGGGGCGTAGGGCAGTGATGCGAGGTGGCGAGTGTCCTTCGCCAACGAGCGAAAGTCGCCGCACCATGCATGACAAAAACACTATGAAGAAACCTCATAAACCAATCAGGGCGCTAAAAAACCGAGCAAGCAAAACCACCGCCAATAAAAAGGGACAGAAGGAGAGGGGTGGGACGGAAAAGGGAAAGGAGGGGCGGCGTAGGGGGGAGAGGGGGGGGGGGGGGGGGGGGGGAGGGATGATGAACAGCGAACAGCAAGAAGGCAAGACACATAAGGACGTGGTGGCGCTGGGAAGATTTGGGTTGCGCAACTTGACAATGTTCACACTGTAATGCGTTTCGGGAATTTTCGCCAAACAACTTGGGGGTGGGGTGGCGCGCGCGTGTCAACTGTTGTAAAGAAATTGCTGGTTTCACGCCGCTACACGCGAAATTGCAAATTGAAACGAGAGAAAGGATCTGGTGTCGGCAATCTGATAACAAACAATTTGCTGTCGTTTCGGGCACTTAGCAAATTGCGATTCCTGAGCTGCGCAACTCGATTTTGTTTAGCCACAATACCAAATCCTAAGCCAGAACGGTGAACAAGGGTCGTGTGCTGTAGACTAGATAAGGGCATGCCTTAGCGAGTACAATATTTTAGGTCAAAACCACAATGTACCATGTTTTCTAGTCTCATTCTGCTACGCTAAAGTGGTATCATAGTATATTAGGTCCGCCCACCCGCTTCCACCCTCGCCCTAGCCTAGCGTCCCGCCGTTCCCTTAGCATACCCCGTTGGCCTTAGCGCGCCCCGCTAGTCCCTAGCGCCCTGCCAGCCCTTAGCGCCCCTTAGACTCTCCGCATGCCCGCTGGTTCCTTAGCGCCCCTCGCGCCCCGCTGGTCACTTCTGCGCCCCACCTGGCCCTAGCGCCTTGCCGGCCCTTAGCGTCCCGCCGACACCTCGCACGCCCGCTGGTCCCTTAGCGTCCCTCACGCCCCGCCCAGCCCTCGCGCGCCCGCTGGTCCCTTATGCGCCTCGCCAGCACCTCACGCCCTGCCCGGCCCTTGCGCTCCGCTGGTCCCTCCTGCGCCATGCCTGGCCCTAGCGCCCCAACGACCCTTAGCGCCCCACCGACCCCTCGCGCGCCTGCTGGTCCCTTAGCGCCCCGCCGACCCCTCACGCCCCGCTGGTCCCTTACGCGCCCCGCTGGCCCCTCGCGCCCCGCCTGGCCCTCGCACCCCGCTGGTCCCTTACGCGCCCCGCTGGCCCCTCGCGCCCCGCCTGGCCCTCGCACCCCGCTGGTCCCTCCTGCGCCCCGCCTGGCTCTAGTGGCCCGCCGGCCCTCAGCCCCCTGCCGACCCCTCGCACGCCCGCCGGTCCCTTGGCGCCTCGTCGGCCCCTCCAGCCCCGATGGTCCCTTTCGCGCCTCGCCTGGCCCTAGCGCCCCGCCGGCCCTTAGCGCATTGCCGCCCCTTTCGAGCCCCGCCGGCCCATCGCGTCTCGCCGGCCTTCCTCGCGCTCTGTTGGCCCCGTGAGCCCCAACCGGTCCTTCTATGCGCCCCTGGCCCTGTGAACCCCGCTCGGCCTTCCGCTCGGTCTTCTTGCCGAGGAGTTCTGTCGCCGCGCTGCTGTGCAGCTATGTAGCTGTGCCACTTTGTCGCTGTGCTGCTCTGTCGCTGTGCCACTGTGTCACTGTGCCGCCGTACCGCCGTGGAGATGTGTCGCGAGGTCGCACGATGGCGGACTTTGTACACCGCCTGGACGCGGAGGGGCACGCGATCGACTTCGCCGCCTGGCTTGTCGATCTACACCGTCACCTCACAGGTCAGCGCCAGGATGGGCACTCCCTGGCTGTGCATATTGATGGCTTGCTTCCCCGCCCCCCCGCGCCTGATCCCCTCCCTGATGACCCCACCACTACTCAGCATGAGGCCTTTTCTACTGCTGCGCTTGCTTGCGCTGTCTGGGATTCCCGCGATGCCGTAGCGCAGCTAGCCATTAGTCATGCTCTTTCCGTGTCTGAGCGTCCGCGCTTCACTAATGTTGCGAATGCCAAGGATTTCTTAGATGCAGTCGTTGCGCGTTACTCTACGCCCGCCTCCGCCTCTGCTGGCTGCCTGAAACTCTCTATGTTGTTCCTTGATCTTGCCGCTTTCCCCACTGTAGCTGACCTAGCCATTCAACTCCGTGCACTAGAGGCTACCTACCGCGCCGCTAGCACTCCCGCCCAGCTCACTGCCTTCCCCCCGCCATTCTGTGCTACCCTGTACCTCATTGCCATGCACCTTCCGGACCGCTTAGTCACTGCCCGTGACCACTTCCTTAATCAGCACCCAGGTGAACTCACCCTTACCGCCTTTGTCACCGCCTTGTCTGAGATAGAGGCTCGCAAGCGCACTATCGCTCAGTCGAGCAGTACTGCGGTTGTCCCTATCTTCTAGGGCTATGTGCCCTCCCGGTGCACTTACACTGACGTGTCTGCCACTATCGCAGAGACAGCCCCTGCCGCTGAGACCGCCGCTGCTCGTCTCAGTCGCTCACTCACCCGTCGCTTCTCTAGCACCACCAACTAGGTCACCCTGCACTCCCGCGTCTGCGTCACATGTCTAAGTACGGTCTCGTCCTACACTGAGGGAAAAAACTGTCTGGATAAATGGGTTTAGGCTAATGCAGGTCAAGTTTTGCCTGTTATGGTAACAATAGGTTTCCTCAAATTTCCCTGTGTGTATAACACTGCGTATATTTACGAACCCACCGAGTTCTGGTTTGTAATAACGAAGCTGTCTACCGTAGGATAAGGCTTTGCAAGATGGACTGCTTTCGGACAGTTAGTTCCGATCGACGTTCGACATCTACATTCGCCTCCGTTCTTGATTTAGGTCTCGATCTAGCAAACTTCTCGCCGCCGCTCCGTTGCCCCGTAGTCCGCACACAGTCCCGACACCATGAAGCCGATCAATGAGAAGCGACGAGCACGTATGATCAAGCTTCTGCGCAAGGGGGTTAGCGTGCGGAAAATAGCGAAAGATTTAGGTGTAGGTAAAAGCACCGTCCATGACTACAGTCTCAAAGTCATCGCAAAGACTAGCCGCGATGAGGTGCGACCTACGATGCTGTCAGGTGGAAGGCCATGGGTCATATCACACCGACTCCAGCGCACCGTTATTCGAGCTATTACTAATGGCATGGCAAAAGCGAGCGTTGACGCGGAAAAAATGCTGGGAACTGC